AAGGAAGGACCTGTCAAGCTCTCGCCTGCTTCATGTGCCACACAGCAGCTCCTCCTCACACTGGAATGGCTGGAATTTCTGACAGGCACCACAGAGAAAGAATACGCCGTAGTCTGTCTGCCCCCCAGGCAGAACAATGCACCCACGGCACATGCCTTATTGAGTGTTGTTAAGTGTGACTTGGCACATAAAATATGTGTTAAAAGCACCGCAGCAGTGCCCTGTCCCAGAAGATAATCCTAGCCGAGATTCACTCACTATCTGCAAAGTCAAGCTTGAGGGAGCAGTCGGGGATCCATGGGTAACGTGCTCCAGATATCGGAGAGCAGGTGCCAAAAGGAACCAACTCTGAAGATGTTAAGGATGTTAAGTCTCTCACTCCCAGAAAGGGGGAAAAAGAAGGCAGTGCGGAGTGACTCTCTGTGCCACAAAACCCGACCTGTGATAGGCCGAAGCACTCCGACCAGACGAGAGTGGAATCGATGGCCCAGTGGTCAGACCGAGGCCACGCCACTCTGTGCTGTATCTCCCTTCTGGACTTGTACAGTACCAATGAGGGGGGCGTGTTCAGACTTTTGTGTTAGGAGAGCCGGCTCCTCTTTCTTGCCTGGGGTTTGTCACAAACTGGGAGGGTGCCATGGTGGTGCAGGAGTTAGTACATTTGCCTCCCAGTGCTGGGGCCCTGGGTTCAAATGTGGACTTGGGGTTCTATATGCGTGGAGATTGTACAGTATGTTCTCCCTGTGTTCCCCTGGGTTTCCTCTGGGTGCGCTGGTTTCCTCCCACGGTCCAAAGACCTACTGGTAGGTTCATTGGCTTCTGGGAAAACTGGACCAGCCAGGCTGTACCCCACCTTGCACCTGTTGCTGTCTGGGATAGGCTCCGGCTGCCCCTTGACCCTGAATTGGAAGAAGCATTTACAAAATGGATGGAGGTTTTGTTTATATTAATAATTAAGTATTAACACAATCAAGAGCCAGTGAAGCGTGCGTGGAAATGAGGACAGTGCGCTTCACTTTTTAAAAAAATGTTCTGTGGGATTTAAAAGGTTAAGAAACAGTGAGCTAAAAACTTGTATTTATACTTTGAAACATCTGCGATAGGAAGTGGTCGGGGTCCCTCTCCTGAGCCTGTTACGAACGAAAGTGTGGAACGGTTGAAAAATTCGCTTTTTTTCTGGGTCAGTGTGGTTTGCTATTTTTGGAAGCGTATTTAATTACGGGATGAATAGTAGAAGTTATTTTTGTTATTCAACCGAGGCATGTGTAGAAAAAGAAAACCATTTTTCATCCTAGTCCCGTGTGTATTTGCAAATATAGAATCCCGTATACTGTTGGCCACTAAAGTCTGTATTTAATGATCTGAAAACTCCAAATAACTCCAAATAACTCCAAACGTGTCATTACATTGCTGATTTATTAGAGAAACATTCCTGTAGTTCATATCTATTCCCTCTCCCTCTGCACTGCCATTTCTTAGAAAAATAAAATTTAGAATCACCAATTATATATTAAGTACATATCTAACACCACTCTCATTCAAGGCCCCTCAGGACAATTCTGGTTCACTCCGATCTTGTACCTCCAGCAACCTTATTTACTGTATCTCTTGCAGTAAATACCCAGCCATCTACATTGGAGAAACAGGAAGGAGACTCAGGGACCGCTTCAGAGAACATGTTAGGGCTGTGAAGATTAAAGATCTCTCCAAGCCCATTGTTTCTCATTTCACCATGATCACACTAATCTCTCCGTCTGTGTTCTCAAAGATGGTTTTCTGAACTCCTACATCAGAAAGACTTCAAAAACCAAAATGATCCTGCAGCTAGGATCACACCTTCCCCCTTCTCTGAACGACAGACCAATTTTCTTCTAAATTCTCTCTATTCATTGTAGGTTTCATTTCACACCTCTCTTCATCTATCCTGACTTCACACCTCCTGATTGGCCTCTCTTTCTGTCCCCTGCTCCTGCCTCTCGCTCCTCCTCTCTCCCAGCTTTTGTTCTCCTGCTACATTACCTTTGCTTACTGCCTTGTCTTTCTCTCGCAGCTCCCCACCTGAACTACTACAGAATCACCAATTATTCTTGTTGTACATTCCACACATTATCTAACTGCTTTATCCAATGCAGGATTGGCGTGGGGATCAGAGCTTGTCCCAACAAGCTCTTGTTATTGCCGATTTGGAAAATGAAGACAGATATCACAAACCTTGTGACCACACACAGGGGAGAATGAGGTGCCTTTTGACTCCTTAAACCCACCCACTCGACTTTTAACTGTGGCTGACTTACCGCATCCTGTCCTGGGCACTCAGATGATGGTGCACCCCCATTTAAGAAGGGTTGATCATAGTCAGACAGTGACATGACTTGGGCTTGAACCCACGCCCACATGCCCAAGAGGAGGCCCCTTATCCAGCATCTTTTGTCTGCTTGTGTTTTTGCCCCAGTAGTGGGCATGCCAGTTGCTGTGTGCTGGTATGGTGTTGCCGTACAGTAGTTGGCATTCCTGCCTCACAGCCCTGGGTTCACTTCCAGACCTGCGGTGCTGTCTGTGTGGAGTTTGCATGTTCTCCCTGGGTTTGTATGGGTTACCTCCGGGTGCTCTGGTTCTCCCCCACAGTCCAAAGATATACTGCTAGGTTATTTGGCTTCTGTGGAAATTGGCCCAGGTGTGAATGTGTGCATGTTTGTGTCCGTGTGTAGCCTGTGGTGGACTAGCGTCCCATCCAGGGTGTACTCAGCCTTGGGCTAGCTGCTTGCTCCCCTGTGACCCTGAAAGCGAAGAAGATGTAAGAAAATGGATGGATGGATTGTGTGCTGGTAGGTGACATTGAAGCACTTTGTGATCCACATCATGTGACTCTCGATTGCTCTTGTCAAAATAAATAATGGAATAACGACACAGCCAACATGTATAGAGTAAGCTTGACTGTATCCCATGCAGTCTTCACCTTGAATGTGCGACTGCTTTTCCAAAGTATTTCAGTATATTTTCCTTTGTTCTGTCCACATTGTCTGCTGTTGGACATAAAAAGTCCGAAACCCCTTGAATCCATCTGTTTGGAGAAGACTGTCATTACTGGCTTCGACATTGGTCTGTCATTATATAATAGTAAGTTCCATCTACATGAGTCATCGGAAACTGTTCAGCTCAGCTCCTTTTGCAATCATGCTTCTAGGAAATCCAAACTGTTTGTGATGCACATTGCCACTTTGCAAGGCAGCAAACAAAAGTAAGATTACATAATAGTATATTTTAAGGAATACGATATTGTATTGAGTTTATTTTATGAAGCCACCCAAACCAGTATTTTGGCATCCCTTGTTGTTAGCTGGCTTGCAAAATTGGCTGCTGTAACAGTTGTCTGTAATAGTGCAGAAACTTTTTTTTTTTGCTCTGGGTAGGTGACATTAAGTTATCCAGTTAACGTTTTTTTTACCCAGTACACCTTGGATACTCTAGTAACTGTTCAACCAACAACCCATTGCCTGATCTGCCCTTATGTGATGTACTGTTCCCCAATAATAAGATCTGGCAATAAATAAGCAAATATGAAAAGATTGTACTGCATTGAGCAGTATACTGTGCTCCTTCCTGATAACAGTCTATGGCAGTATGTCTCTTACAAAAATAATTTTATTAAGGTACTCTGCTGCTCCCCGGAGGCCACAGTAAAAACTGATCATCACTGTTATCTTGTATTCAGTTAACTCACAAGTATTACCACTTAGCTTGAAGTGTTGGGAATATATGGTTCTATTCTTCAAATCTTGAAGATTCAAGCACAACTGTTTATGAATGAAAGATTGATATAGATTCTGGGCTTCTGTGGACTTTTTCCTTATTATTTAAATATTTGTGTTGCAATGAGCACAAATTCAGCTTGGGTGACAGCTGTTGTACCTGCAGAGCTGTGGTGTGCTGAGGTGTTTACAAAGTAAATGGTTTTTCTAGAAGGGGAAAAAGGGTGGGGTGAGGCTCATCACTAAAGGATTGATGGTTTTGCCAAAAAAGAGGGAGTCATTTCTCCAGGGTGTGCCCCATTACTTGATTTACAAAGCACTCAGACTTATTTTTTGCATCCTTCTCCTTTCCAGGCACCCTGAAGAAGGAGTCATTTCTCTCAATGTTTTTGTTTGGGGGATATTTCGTTTAACTGAGCACACTTCTGGATTTGCTGACCAACATATATATTAGGTCTGGGTTGTATTGTGACTGTTCAAGACATAACACAAATTTGCTGTGCATATTTATTTATTTAAAGCTAGATTTCACAACTTGCTATTGCATAAAAAATAATAGTACAGAGGCTGTTTTCAGGCCAGTTTTGGACAACAGCCCTCTTATTTTCAGAGTTATGACCGTTCAAGAATTTCAAGAATTCCTGTGACCTTGGCTCAGTGTTGCCTGTATGAAAACTTTTCCTCAATTTTGAAATGCAGACATTTTCTCAGAATCCTTTATTTGAAAGCGGAGACTTTATCTTTTTTTGGTCTTATTTGGACACAGTAACTTGCTTTAATTTGAAAGTTGAAGCACAACATCTAATCTGACATCAACCCACCTAACCTAGCTGCCGCGTTTTTAAAGAGGGGGAAACCAGAGCGCTCACAGAAAATCCCCACTGGTCTGGCAACATGAAATTCCCCATACAAAACACATCCCAGGCCGAAACCAAACCCAGAACCCCGGACCAGTGAACTATGCTATGTTCTATGTTCTGTCCTCTTCTGTCCCAGGTCTCTCAAATTCACTACATTTAATACAGACCTATAAAACACAAAGCGTTTCATATTCGCCAGGGAAAAGGAGCACAAAACCTTTTACACTATTTTAGTGCAGGATCAAAGACCTACTGACAAAGGTGTTGGCCAACAACCATGAAATCTAGGATTTGACAGGACAGAAGTTAGCAATAGGATCTTTGGTAGTACAGATGAAAATGTTTGACGTGTGTGCTTTCTGATTCTCAACCTCCTTTGCTTTTTTTTCAGGGCCAGGAAAGCACTCTTGGGCCACGCAACGCCAGTGCAGTCATGGAAAACTACGATTACGATAATTACTCCTACGAATACTATGAAGAGGAGCCCCCACATGGCAGCCAAAAAGAGGTTTCGCACATATTTTCTGTTGTCATCTACAGCATCTCTTTTGTGCTTGGCGTCATTGGGAACGGAGCCGTCATCTGGGTGACCGGTTTCAAGACGAAGAAGACGGTCAACACCATCTGGCTGCTGAACCTCGCCGTGGCCGATTTCGTGTTTGTGCTTTTCCTCCCCTTCTCCATTGACTATGTGGTCAACGACTTCCACTGGAATTTCGGCAAAGCCTTGTGCAAGGTTAATTCTTTCATCTCCATCATGAACCTGTTTGCCAGTGTGCTCTTCCTCACTGTGATCAGCCTCGATCGCTACGTGGCCCTTGTTCACCTTAGCTGGTCACAGAGAAACCGGACCCTGCGGAACAGTCTCATCGTATGTATCAGCGTGTGGATCACAGCGGCGGCGTTGAGCACCCCCAGTCTGATTTTCCGCGACACCCTTACCATTCAGGAAAGAGTGGTCTGCTACAACAACTTCCACGACACGGACCCGCACACAGCTGTTGTCCGGCACACCGTCATAGTGAGCATCCGAACTGTCGTGGGGTTCCTGATACCTTTCTCCACGATCTCGGTCAGCGGCGTCATGCTGGTGGTGAAGATGCGAAGGTCCGCCACCGTTAAATTGACCAACTTCTCCAAAACTGTAGCAGCCATCATCGTTGCCTTCTTCTTCTGCTGGGCCCCTTACCACGTCTTCAGCCTGATGGAAATCACCGTCCACCACAACAGCCAACTCCACGATGTTCTCAGGACCGGTTTCCCCTTGGCCACCAGCCTGGCTTTCTTCAACAGCTGTCTTAACCCCATCCTCTACGTCTTTACGGGCAAGAAGGTGAAGGCCATCCTCCACAGGTCCTGTATGGAGGTCACCAAGCACGTGCTGAGAGACCTCAGCCAGGCAGGGTCGGAGTCCGTCACCCTGTCTGACCAGAATGCCAGGAGCAGGGAAGAAAATGATGGCTAATCCACATTACAAGGAGACTGTTTTCCCTGGAGAATTTCCATGTTCTCCTTTTGGGATATATAGTGCCACTCCAGTATTTGAATCCGCCATGCACAGACAGGCTTAGAGAGAAAGTTATACACTTTCTTTGGCTGTAAGCCTTAGAATCTCTGTTTGCTCTGTTGCACGACAGTGATGCTTAAGTGCAATGGTAGCCTAAATTGTCCTCATTTCAGTACGGACGTTCTCCATGTGGGGGGTATTACACTTTCTTAAAGCTTTAAGGGTGTTTAAGGGTGTTTAAAGGGAAACTGCAGTCCCAATTTCTTAGACAGGCTATTACAGTCTAAGCCGCCATGTCGTTTCAAACTATCAGTCGAGTTCCCATGAATTGCGACCAGATGCAGCGTTTCCTGCTCACTAGTCACTGTAATGACTAATGTAATGCAATATACGAGCGAATACGAACAGGTTGTGCAGCAGACATTTCACTGCAGAAATGTTTCAACATGATCTGCAGGCAGAGTTAACAAGTCAAGCAAAATGAAGTCGAGAGCAATATTTCTATTGGATTTAAAAGAGATGCATTCACAAGCCTGCTTGTTTACGATGTGAAAAGAACTCTTCACCTCACCAGAAGTTCTGTTGCCTTGTCCTGATTTGCAGAATATGGCGCTACCTGGAAATTTCGCTGTGATGATTTTGTGATGTACTGGAGGTGGTACAAATTACCATGAACTCTTTAATTTTATTGTTGTACGAAATGCATTCATCAATGCTGATTTTTTCTAACCCCGAAATACAAAAATAGCATTGCAGTTCCCCTTTATGGTGCAATCTTTCCTAAAATTGTGTTCACGATTGAAACCTACCCACCTGAACTAATATGTTGTACACACCACACCAAGCTCACTGTCCCCATCTGCAGAGCTTTTCTAGAACAAGAAAGGTTATCTGGCTGCCTCCACACTTCATCAAGATCTGCAGCACAAGATCTGTATTTGGTGTAAAAGGCCTTAATAACTTACCACAAACACACACACTTCCCCAGTTGAATTTCCTGGGAATAGGAGGACAGATTGGGCTGGCATCACATCTGCTCATCATTTAGCGTATGAAGATATATTTATCTGTTTCTATATGTAGTTTCTATTCAGAATTCACTCATTTAGCATGTTTGTTACTGCAATATGAAACCTTCAAACTATTAAACTGTGTTAGTTATTATCAGAAAAAACAGTACCTACTTTATATTGTATTTATTGTGTA